TATATTTGAAATTACATAGGTTTTTATTTACTCGCTAAATTGTGGTCCAATTATATCGAATATCTCTGTCCAAATTTCTTTTGCTGGAAGTCCCAAAGCTAGATAAAATAATAAAATAAAATGTAGTTTATGTCTTATCACGTGATCAAGGTTTTATTTGAGTCTAACGTACCTGGGTGTTTATTTTTTAAAATACTGCGCCACACTAAACTTGAGGGAATTCAAGATTTTTTAATTTGCTTAAAAAAATAAAATAAAAATAAAAATAAAAATAAAAATAAAAATAAATAAAAATAAAAATAAAAAACTGCTGCCTACTTTGGTTATAAATTAAAATCAAATCAGGGCCACAATAAATTGCTATAGGAAAAACCGAATGGAGACAAATATCCTAAAATTTATCAAATAAACAACAATCAAAACAAAATTCCATCAAAAATCAAAAATCAAAAATCAATGGTAAAGAAATAAATTTATATACAACGGCCATTCTGAATGAAGGATCCCATTCTTCCATAGGTCCAAGAGGAGTGGAGGACCAGTCAAAGGAGTAGACTAAGTCAGCAACCGGAACCTCATCAGCATAAAAAGTTGGAGAATCAGAGTTTGATGTTTTAGAGGAATTTGTTATAAAAGATGACATATTTCTTAATCACAATTATAGTTATGATTTTTGTAATTTTATGAAGAAAGAAAATTAAAGGGAAAAGGAAAAACAGGAATTTATTTTAATAAAAGAATATTTTTTTTTTAAATAATATAAATATTTAAGGAAATTTATATTTAAATAAAACTGTTCTAACTGATAATAGAGTAGAGTAATCAATAATAATGAGAATATTTTAATTTAAAATTAAAATCTTGATGGTATTTTTTATATTGCATTAAACTTTATTATTATAATCGAACATGACATTTAATTGATTACATATTTTTTATTTTTAAAACAAAAATGAAGAGACAAAAAATTAATATTAATTAAATAATAATTATCTTTATATTAAAGAATATTAATATGTTATAATGAATATATAATTTAAAAAAGCCACAAGCCTTGATATTAAATTTCTTTAATTTCCAACTTCTATTCTATGTTCCAATCAATTAATAATACCTTTTAAAAAATTTAGTAGTCGAACGCAAAACGATTGGAAGTGTATTTTCCGAAATTTTTATCGCAAATTTTTAATTTGAGGCATCAAGAATTTTAGGGATTAAAATTTAGTTAAAATTTTCATCAGTTTTTTTTTTTCTTATATGGTGCGATCATCTAAAGACATCACGTGCTGCGCCACTCGCCGAAAATTTTTATGCTGATCTTGCTTTATAAAGAATCCAATAT